CAGCCCGAAAGACCGGCTGGTCGGAAACCGGTGAGAAGCAGGTCTGGTATCGAAAGGTCAGCCACACAAGCGAGAGGAACTCACCGGAAAGCCACGTGCAGGTGGGTGGGAACGTGCGGGGGGGCCTGATAACAGCAGTTTCATTACACGACCCCCGTTCACTGCCAGATTGGCTTCCTAATAAATTTCCCTGAGGCGTGCTTGATGTATGCGTTTAATATTAAGCGCCTCTTATCCGCATGTCACTCAGTGGACAAAGGAGCGACAGTGGCAGAGTGATTATTTTACACATTTCTCCATCATTTACATGGCCCTCCACATTGCTCCCAGACAGCAGCGTGAAACACACCGCTGGCCAGAAGCAGCGACCTGTGCCGGCCTCGAATACCTGAGGTCCGTGGGGAAAAGCCAAGACGACTGGGAAGCTTTGGAGGGCCCTTCTTCACTTTCTGAAGGAACGAGAGTTGGCATCAGAGATCATCCAGCACTTCAGCCCCTAAATATACTCATTACGCGTGTAGGGCTGTCAGAAGAGCGGGAGCGTCGCTGCTGACCTCCTGTAGGGTCTCCCAGACAGTCTGAAGCTAGGGTATAAGGAGGAGGACGACGAGGACCCAGTCGATGGCATCTTGGAAGCAGACAGCAGGCATCTCTGGGGGAAAACGGCGTTCAGTTACGAGTCCTGTTTCCAAGAGGAAAAGCGGTCCCCCGCCATAATGACAGTGTCTCCATGCCGCTCTCTCAATCTGGATCGGTAAACACTCTCAAAATGCCTACCCTGCTACCGGACCATTTACACTCACGTATCGCGGACTGCATGACAGCTGTATCCCCCCCCCCATTAAATGCATCAGACACAAACACCAAGTCACAGCTGGGACTGCCTCCCATCTCTGTGTCCAACAGGGCACTCCCAGCATCCCCAGTGCCGCGTGCCTCACCTGTCCCGAATGGAAAGCCACACAAGCTGCCTACCTCGTTAAGCTATGAAGGTGTGGTGCTCAGGGCCCCGTGGCTCGTTTTAAACAATGCGTCTTCACAACCCAGAGGCGTCCGAGGCCACACCAATAAAGCAGCCCTACATCTGGCATTGAAGGTAATTTATGGAGTTTATACGGATTTACACGGACACAGACAGCCACACTGCCGGCTCAATCTCCCGTGTGTTTCTGACCCTGCCGCAATTTTTTCCTGTATCTCGGCTACAAGACGTTCCCGAAGGGGAGGGACGGCGGCTGGATAAGAAAGGTAACGGGATCGTTGTTTGACAGCATGAAGATATATGAACCTCGGGATGGCGGAGGGAACAGCGGAGCGCATCGCAAGGCTGATTGATGCGAGCCGATGGCATGTTGTAAAAACACAGCGGATTAGCGCCACCCCCCCCCCCCCACCAACCGGCAAGGACGGCATTCCACGTTATACTGCCAAAATATGCCATACATCACACAGGAAGGAGACCCACATCAGGAATTATTACCAGATGAATGTTTCTCATAAATATGAACTACTTTACAACATACAGAATTTTCATCTAAACTTACAACAACTCATTCCTGCCACGGTGATTGATGGCTGGCCATGTATCTTTCCTTGTTGAAGAAAGCAGGTTGGAAATAACTATTACATTTATTAATTAAAAATATTAAATAAATGTTAGGGACACATTTGGTCAAAATATTTGCCCCACATATAAGCATCACGTGCTAAAGTGTGAAATGTTCACGGCGTGTTACACGAGACTGCATGCACACTGACCAGCTGTGCACATGTGTGTGTGTGTGGATGTGCGCGAGTGTTTGCTCTGGAGAAGCGATCACGCGATATGGGGGGGTAGGTTACCCTTAGGGAAAAGTTAGAGAGTGACAACATTTCCTGAACACCGGACACTAATATGCTAATGGAAAGTCCCCCTAAAATATTAAAGTCAGCAGAGCTGTCAGGACACAGAAAGGGCAACCAAAGGCTAAAAAGTCGACTTTTTCCCGGATATGTTAACACCCAAATGCTGTCAGCACTTCGAGAAGCAGCAAGATAATCCCAGGCTGGCAGTGGAGCTCCCCGTCCGGGAGGGATAGAGACGCAGGCCCATTTGTTATGAGGAGAAACACAAACACAGCCCTGCACTTTACTAATGAAACGTTTAAAAATAAATATATGTAAAAATAAGTAAAAGGTTGTGTTGAAAGTGGAGCTGAGGCGGGGTGGGGGCCGCTGTGCTCGACACCCCCACGTGGCTCGTTTCCAGGTGTTGTGCACCGTTCCTGAGAGAGTGCCTTGTCAGGAAACTCGCTCTTTACGCAGCTCCTCGGGGGCTGGACGCGCCGGCTAGCGAAAGCCGCGAGGCAAATGAGAGCAGCGTGGCTCTGGGGAGGCGCCCCCTGCAGGTCACACACAGGTCACCAGCCTGTTTTTAGAGCCTCGCTTTAATACTTTAAAACATTGGAGTGCATGAATTAGGCTGGTATCGTTATCTCCCCCCAAAAATGTATGATAAATAAACGAGATCTGCTCATTCATGACCTCTGTCACTAGACGTGTCCGACCACCATGGCACATCTCCGCCTTTCCCCTCCGGGCTTGATGGTATGCCACCATCTGACTGATCTGTAACCAGCACCCCCAGCTGACTAATTAAATAAGTGCAGTGATAACAACCCCCACCTGACAGACTCTCACAGGTCACAAACCCCAGACGGGACACGTTCTGTTCACAGGTCGCCATTACGCAATCGACTTCGGGTTCACGGTGGATCGATGCTGCTCATGGCCAATGGCACTCTAGGAGAAGATGAAGATTGCTTATCCCCCATCTCACATCATGGAACTCTGGTCTCCATGGGTTACTGAGACCAGGGTCACATGACTGACCTGAGCACAGGCATCGCTGAAGTGGGGAGGCCACATGGCCTCCGAAAACGCCATTTATCACGGCCTGTTATACAGGGCACAGGCAGAGTTGAGGCCCCCTCCCCCCCCCCACGGCCAACAGAAATGCCCGGTTGCTATGCGAGGAGAGGAGAAGGCCTCCCGGGGCAGGTCGCGGTGCAACGACAGCAGCGATTTCCAGCCTCAGCAGGAGGGGGCGTCACCGAGCACGGGTTGACGCACAATTGGACCTGGAAGATGGGGGAATTAGCCCCCGCACCCACGCGGGGGTGTACAATTCCCATCGGCCTTTCACCCACAGCCCCTTTCAACTGCACATCACTCTACCCTCCTCTCACCGGTCTGATTTCTGCAGAGCAGAACGGGCTCCAGGCTCAGGCTCCAGGCTCAGGCTCCAGGCTCAGGGTCCAGGCTCAGGCTCCAGGCTCAGGGTCCCCACCAGCGCCCCAGCTGCCCCATAATCACTCTCCTTTTTATAGTCACCATTTAATGTTCTTCCTACGATGATAAACTGAACGCAACACAATCCTAAAAGACATAAGAAAACTGCATCTGGGAATGTCATTCTACAGAGAGACCTGGCCCATAATACAAAAGGGAACCATGTACAGCCCAGCTCATCTTATCCAGAAGCTTCCTTTCTGAAGGGAGGCCGGAGATCGATGTAATAATTACCAATCTGACCCTCTCGGATGACTGGTACGTGACGGCCCCATGAAAGGTCGTGCTGCGGCGATCAGGGAGGCGCTTTGTTTTAGGTGATGCATACTTCTGGGCAGATCTGAGAACTGCCGGGCAGCCATGAAAGACGGCCTGCGACTCCAGAGCCATAAAAGACGGCCTGGGACTCCAGAGCCATAAAAGCAATTACAGCTTCTAGACATTGTAAAAGTATAACTTTAATTGCCATTAATTGCGTTGAGGTGACTGGTTCTAAATGTCTAATGCTATTTCTGTCAGAGAGGGCGATTTATTCAAAGCTATTATCCCCAGAAGCTGAAAATGGGGAATCTATAGACTGCTTCTAGACCCTGAGAGACTTCAGACTGTAAATATATAGCGGCTACGTGGCGGCGCATGTGATTTTACTGTTTATTCTAACTTGACTGAAAACTTTTCTCTGCTCAGGAAGCACAATGAAATCGGAGTTTGCAGCAAAGACTTTAAGCTCTAGATTAAGCTCAACCCAACATTAACGATGGTATTGTTTGGGATGGAGCTCTTCTGTGCTGTGCCTCTCCCTGGGCTGTCCTCACAGTCCCACCAGAGATTGTCTCCAGGGACTGTTAGCCACGTCTTCCCAAATGTCCACGTGAATGGCAGTGGAGTTTAAAGTAGAGCCGCAGGGACATTTCCGGGGCAGGATCCTGCCCGCGTCCCTGCCATTGCATGTACACACAAAGCCGATCCGAGGCATCTCCGGAAAGGGCGGGCTGATCTGCGCCTCGACGCACACGGCTCCCCGCGGCTCGCCGTCGTCCGGCAGGGAGTGTATAGTTACAGAGAAAACAGGCCAGCGTCACGTGGCGAGCTCGGAGGAATTCGCTGACTGTGCGTGAAGCCCGTGGCGAGGCGCAGATGTGGGTACGCCTTACGACAAATTAAACTGCTCAGGAAGTGGAGGCTGTGTGGAGAGGCTCCGCCCAGGCGGGCCCCGTCGCCGAGCCCATCCCGCCGTGTCGCAGCCGTTCACTTGGAAGCCAAGCCTTCCGTGCGCCTCGGAAACGCCGCGGCCTGCCGCGAGGCCTTACGGAGGGATGCGCATCGGCAGCTAATTGTGTTATGGGACAGAACGGCGCCGGACGGGCTCACAGGAGTTGAGCAAGGAGAGAAGAACCTTCAAGAAACTCCAGAGAAGCCTGCACAAGTCGATGGGCGTTATTCCATTTGTGTAGCTAGGGCGACACAGAATATTCACCAACTTATATTTTGTGTGTGGAAGCCTGGGCCAAACGGAAGCAGGGAGCAGACGTCTCAAAAGAGAGACACACACACACACACACACACACACACACACACACACACACACATTGAAGCCAGAAAGAAAAGAACAGGGCCTGGATCTCCACGCAGTACAAAACATTCCAGAAAGAGTTTTAACATTGTCATACCTGCTGGGGTCTATCCCTCTGCTCTCTGTCCATCTGATGAATCTGTTCAGTGGTTTGGCACCAGAGGGACCTACAGCTCCTTTAAACAGCAGAGATATGGGGAGGGGGGGGGAGGGACAGGAGAAAGACACCAATTAAAACCTCCATCTCCATGAACACAACGCGCACACAGCCTCTGAGCCGTGTGGGATTCTCACTGGAGCACACAGTTTGATGATTTTGGCAATCAGGCCCTGCCTGTGGGGGGCAGAATCCCAGAGGGTGGACAAGACTCTTCTGGAACATTGGGGGGGGGGGCGTATACTGTAGAAAACAGATGTTTGCTGTTTAGGACGGAGGAGATAATCTCCATCGGACCACATACATCAGCCTCTATAAGAACATCTTCATAACCATGCCCGGAGAAATCAAGACGATAAGAACATAAGAAATTTACAAACGAGAGGAGACCATTGGGCCCATCAAGCTTGTTTGGGGAGAACTTAACTAATAGCTTAAAAGATGCCGGAAGGGCCTGGGTGCGGCCTTACCCTCATGTGCTAATAGGGGGTGGGGCTCTCCGTAGCCCAGGCTCCTAACCTTGAATTGTTAATGCTGTGGTCTGACTGTTTTCTGCCTCCTCATGGAAGGGGCATCTCTGGCTGTTTCTCAATATCAAGAACGCAAAGCAACCGATGTATCCTTGATATTTCGGATAGGGCAAGAACCACATCCAGGGATTCTTACCCTCCCCTGAACACAAGAACACAAGTGCGGCCAAGTACGTATACTGAGAAACACCCTCCGTGTCCGAGGGCTGGTGCCCCTTGGATGATGCCGTCTCCAAGACACGTCGCTTTGGGGAAGGTTTCATCTGCTCCCCTGCGATGCCTCCCGTGGTGGCTGCACGTGGCTCTACCTCGTGAACAGCTTATCTGGGCTGTGTCCCGAATCGCACGGGCGCTGGGGCCGGGACAAGCGTGTGAACATCGCAGGTCCCCTGAGCGTGTCGGCGGATGACAGACCCACCTCCCCCCATGTGTGTCCCACCTAGCATATCTTCCTGTTCTACTGCTGTAATGTATTCCATGATCCCCTGGACAGGGGTGGAGATGACAGCCAGGAAGCAGGGCCAACAACAATGCGGCATGCGCATGGGCACGGCTCGCAGGACCGGCCGCGCTGCAGCTCTCGCTCTCCAAAAGAAGAAGAAAAAGAAGAGAAAGAAAGCACCCAGCTCTATAAATTAGTAAAATGGAAGGAAAATGTGAGTTGCTTGGGAGAGAAGTTAACTAACTAATTAAATAAGAAATAAAGTCATGGGTGGCAGCGGTGGGGGGGGGGGAGGGCTAATGTCTGCATGAAGATGGAGTGCAGTGAAAATATGCCACCCTTTCAGGTGAGGATATTGCACTTCGCATATTATCTTGGCTAATGTTCCGTTTTCATGCTGATGTTTATGGTCTGTACTTGGACCTGTGATTATCACCACCGGAGCCCTGTGCCTGGGAAGGAGCAGGAGGAGGGAGGGGAAGGAGGAGGTGCAGCGCCGGAGCTGAGCAATCCCTTAATGCCGAGGCCCCACAAGGAGCCGTGAAGGGCGCTACCACAAATGACCGGCGCTGGCTGGGGCAGCAGGGCAGCCAAGCTGCTTGGGAAGAAGCACCAGGTTTGGGATGGAAAGGCAGACGAGAGCAACGTATCTCATATACAGAGATAATAACCCGATCCATTAGGACGCTGTCCTAGAAGCAAACTCCTAGTTAAGAACAAAACTGAAACTAAAGGATTGCCGTGACCCTGAGCAGATAAGCAGTTAGAAGTTTGATGGATAGTTGGACAGATGAATGGCTGGATGGATGGATGGATGGATGGATGAATGGATCAAACCAAAGGATGGTTTTGCTGGGATGTCCCAACTTACCTGGTTTTTGATGACTGGAATTATAATCATCACCTTGTGCAGCCTAACTGCAGCTAATGTGCATCCAGAGTGATTAATTTATACACTTAGAAATTATCAAAACACAGAGCGGGCATATGAATGTATGTCAGTTTGCATAAGACTGACAGGCTAAAAATTTAACTACCAAGAGTGAAAGAGGGTTAGATGTATAACAAGTAACGAAATAAATCCTTTCACTAACATGAGTCTTTCACAGACAGCGATTAAAATATTTATGAATGTATTCAAGTGCTCCTTTTTAACCTTCCCCTGACCCCATTTAAGCGTCAGATGCCTTTTAGAATGTTTTGGAGGTCAGGATGAAGAAAACAGATTTAAACGATGATGACAGCTGGCCCCCGTCATGCCGCCCCCCGCCCCAGCACAGCCTCCTTCGGTGCGGGTTAAATCGCTCGGAGACCTCACAGGCAGGAGCCCAGGAGCACACCACGCCGCGTGACACAGCGACCAGACCGAACAGAGAGGTGCAGGAATCACCAGTCACAGAGTCAAGTCGTTGTGCGGATTACAAAGCCGGGTCTTATATACATTTACACCTGGTTTCTGCTCAGAAATACATCTCACAGGACACACCGGACAAGGACAGAGCAAAGTGCCAGAGCCGGAAAACAGCATGTGAAAGTGAACGCAGGGCCCCACATCTCCGCTTCCGCGGTCTCTCTTGTTTGGCCGTAAGACAAAGAGCGTGCAGGCAGTTTTATTCACTGAAAATATCTCGCTTATCACATTCAAAGGGAATTCAGTGCCACGAAACACAAAAAGACAATTACTCTGAGAAGAAATATGCTAATAACTGTTGTTTATGAATGCCGGGAGGGTGGTGCGTGAGGCCGACGTGGAGGATGGCCATTCCGTGCGAGTGCTCGCACGTAGGAGGTTGAGGCGCGAGGACGCAAACGCGAGCAGAAGAATTCAAAGCGACTCTCCGGGATTTAATTCCCTCTCCTTTAATAGATGACGGCCATTCAGAAGCGGAGCTGATATCCATCTTAAGCACATGCGCATCTATATCGCCTCAAAAGTTTCCTTGAATTTCTTATCGCGCATCAGACTCCCCGAGAAGATGTCCACGGAGGTCTGCGGAGACGTTTGCCGAGGCCATGCAGTTAACCTTTGCAGGTCCTTCCAAACGGGGGCATGTTTCGCACACACAGAAGGCGATGGACATGTCAGTGCATCACAGCCGCCCCCCGCACATGTCTCACTAGAGTGCCCCACGAAGGGGAGACCGGCGTGGGTGCAGCGGCAGCAGGGTGACAGGTGGCCGAAAACCCACGCGGGAACATTAAGATCAGGCAGAGATTAGAGCACGGAGGACAAAGACGGGTGGATTCCAACCATGTCCACAGCAACCCGCAAGCTTTTCCTGCATCGTACATAGCTATCAACTTGGACCAAAAACCACAATTAAATCTTGGTGATTAGAGCCAGAACACTAACACTGGCACACACTGATGACAAGTACTCCAAAAAGAAAACTGCACACCTGTCAAATCGCATCCATTAAGATGCCCCAGAAAATACCAGTGTTCTTCTCACTGAAGCCCCCCGGGCAGACAGCCCGTGATCACGGCAGCGGTCAGCACACAGCTCTGCAGCCCAGAACAGAACCGCCGCGTTCGGGCCCCTGACGGCAGCAGAGCTGTGGCTCTGGTCGGCACAGAGCTCAGAGGGTTTTGACACGAAGTGCCCCGGAAAGGTACCGCCTTTTTCGGAACGCTGGCCGCACGGCGATGGCCCGCGACCCCAGGCTTTTAATAATGGATTGCGGACGGCGGAGTGCGCTTCCAGGCTGGGCCGGCGGGAATACGGGGATGAGGACAGGACCGTGACAGGCCGCTGGCCCGAGGCTGTCTTTTGTTGTTTTGGAGTACAGCTGTCTGTCAGGCCCGTGCTCGCGCCTCGCAACCGGCCGCGCCGCACGCACTCCTCAGCTCATGAAACATGCATGCAGGCCGCTGCCTCTCTCTCAATCCCCATCTTCACAGTGATCATTTCGTTCGCTTCCAAATGGCTACAGTTAATTCATAAACATTTTTTATTCGGGTTTGATACGTTTTTGGTTGTTTTAGTAACTAAAAATGCATTTTTGTGGATGTAGAAGGAGCAGAGATGTTTGCAGCTTTAAGCCCTGCTGTTGAACCCTTGAGCGAGCAATGAATTTTTTATCGAATTGCTTCGGCAAAACATTCAACCAGACGGCTTGAAATCGGCACAGAAAAAAACAAATTAGGCTGCAATGTTGTTCTGGGTTTCCAAGCTTAAAGTGATGATCACTATTAAAAGGCTGCCAGTAAAAGCTATTATTGAGGACGCGTCCTGTTCACCTGGGAGGACGCAACCAGAGGGCCGGGGGTCCGGCTAGGGATTCCTGCCATCCAGTACCTGTTCCTGATACACGGTCGCCTGTCTGCACCCATCAGACACCCTAAGAATAAATCCACCTTGAGTCTGATGGCTCTAGCACCAGTGCCAGGCATCCATCACGCTGCCCGTTCACTCCTTTCCAAGATCCATGCGACACAGGCGGCCCTTCGGCAGCCCAGGTGTTGGGCAAACTGCCATGTGGCAAAGACGCTAGGCTAACCTCACCCTCATTATTCAGGCAGGGCTCCAAGCGGGGGCTCACCCCCACCCCCTAGTCCTCCCAAGTGACATGCTGAGCAGCCTGAGAGGCTGACGAGTGGCTCTTTAGCACGGCGCAAGCATGACCTCTGCCAGGCAGGACACACCCAGCTTATGGTCTTTATGAGGGCGTGGGGGGGGTGGGGTGGGCAAAAGGGCGATCAGCGTGCGGGTAAACAGCACAGGGTGGCACTTTGGGAGGACACCTCGGCATATCTGACGAGGACCATCCTCGTCGGGCTTGGGGGGGGGGGCACTCGCAGCCATGTCAGGACAGAGCCGCACTTGGGCACATGGAGCCCCTGGTACAGAAGGTAGTGAAAGGGAGGAACTCAATATAACGACCGACGAAATTATGCATCTTCACTTTAGCCTGACACCGCCCCCCCCCTCCAAGCTATGATCAACCCACAACGAAATGTAACATTTCCCAGGTGCTGCGGGGCACCGGTGATGGGGGGGGGGGGGGGGGTTGGGGGGGCTGAAACGCGTGATGGCGGCGCAGCCCC